CTATTTTTTCTTAGAACTTTGTGTTTTGCCCTTTAGTTCAGCAAATGGCCTGTCTAGATTTGAAGGGAGAAATTTTGTTGGAATTAAATCTTTTTTGTTTAACTCTCTTGTTCATGACAAAAAAAGGTTATTTACGAATTTATAAATATATATATGCGCATTGCTATGATCGGTTCTAGAAGTGTTATATATGTGAAATCAATGCCCAAGTACTGCTAGGGATCTTGCTTCCCAAGCATTGTTGTAATTTTTGTTAGTGTGTATATATAAAAAAAGTTAAGAAGTGATCAAGAGAGGTATTGCCTGAAATTTTGTTGGTTCAATTCTTCAGCGCTTACTTTAATATTGCTACTTTTAAACCCACATTTTGTTATTCCATGTGTTCATCTCCTTCGTTCTCTCTCTCTCATAGGTTCATTGCTGGAGCTCATAAAGTAACTCTACATATTGGTTCCATTATTGATGATGATTCTTGGATCAGCAAAGAACAAAAAATAGCCACTAAAAGAAAGCTTGCAACAACATCGTTCAAAGCATTATCGAAAAATAACCAACAAATTCCAAATTCTAGATTCCGTCAGTGCTCTGCAAATTTACATTTAGAGAATTAATTTGCTAGTGTGGGTGTCACTTATTAGAAGCTAATATGGCATGTTGACAAGTCAATACAACTCTAGCCAAATCCTCCGTGGCAATTTGAAAAGTCAAAAGCCTTGAAAGATCAAATTTCGAGCACTCTAAGCCCTGGCATCGCTCCAGGCCCATCAAGCCTCGAAAGATCAAATTTCGAGCACTTTAAGTCCTGGCATCGCTCCAGAGCCATCAAGCCACGAAAGATCAAATCTCGAACATTCTAAGCCCTGGCATCGCTCCAGGCCCATCAAGCCCCGAAAGATCAAATCTCGAGCACTCTAAGCCCTGGCATCGCTCCAGGCTCATTAAGCCTCGAAAGACCAAACTTCGAGCACTCTAAGCATGGCAACGTTCCAGGCCCACCAAGCCTCAAGAGATCAAAATTCGAGCATACAAAGCCCTGGAATCGCTCCAGGCCCAATAAGCCTCAAGAAGCCGATCCTCGAGCATCCCAAGCCCTGGTACCTCACCAGGCCCATCAAGCCTCGAAAGACCAAACTTCGAGCACTCTAAGCCCTGGCATCGCTCCAGGCCCACCAAGTCTCGAGAGATCAAACTTCGAGCATACAAAGCCCTGGAATCGCTCCAGGCCCAATAAGCCTGGAGAAGCCGATCCTCGAGCATTCCAAACCCTGGTACCTCACCAGGCCCATCAAGCCTTGAAAGACCAACTCTCAAATACCTCGAATCCTGGTGTTATGCTAGACAATACTGCTTTGAAAGGCTGGAGCTCCTTAGCACGGGACGAAGGTAGGATCTTCGTGTTATAGGAATCTATGCTTGGGAAACTTAGGAGGATCTTGGATTGGTGGATGATAAGTCAAGAGGTGCCTTCGCTCTCGGCAAGGCCTAATTAACAAGATGATGGGATTATACATGTCATGACAGCAAACCATAAAATCACAATTAATGCTATGTCAGGATGGACCAACCGACGGCCAAGCAACATTTAATGGCCATGATTAAAGGAGAAGTGACATAGCAACATAGGACAAGGCTCAAGGAAAAGATTAGACCCTTCAGACTCCTAAATCTCCAGGATTACCCACGTAATCCAGATTGGGGGATAATGCATGCGAGGGACCATGCATGGAAGGAACCATTGGGTAATAAACCAATGGAATCCAGATCTATAAATGGCACTGTCCTATGAAGAAATAAAAAAAAAACCCCGGAAGAGGAAAGCTGTCATGAGATATTGTATACTCGCCCTACCACCATCTTTATCTTGATAGTTGGTCTTTTCCTCCTCCTCCTACACTGAGCATCTCCTCTGTTTTCCTTCGTATTTGTATTCTTGATATCTCTATTATATTACTGTTTTATTATCTAGTAGAAAAGAACCCCTATATTTTGGTGACTCTGCTGGGGATATCAGTACAAGTAGATGGAATCACAGGATATGCCAACTCACCATTTAGAGCCCTCTGTTGGAGGAGGTGGTGATTCTCCTCTTCAGTCCCAGGCACCGTCACGTGCTTCCAATATTCGCGCACCACATATCACAATGCCGGAAAGCTCAGCAGCTCCTTCCGTTCAAGAGGAGTTGTTGTAGTCCAACCGTGATCTTAACGACCGCCTTGACAGGTTGGAAGCTTTGATTATGTAAAGTGCACGAGCAAGAACTGTTTCTCCCACTAGGGTGGCCCTGCTTGAGCATGGTCAGCTAGGCAGTTCATCCACTCATGTGCCACCACTAGGGGTGGCAATTTGTGTTGGCGAGTCGTGTTCGTGTCAACACGATTACGACACGAACACGACACGATTATTAATCCTGTTAAAACGTTCAACTCTAACATGACACTATTATAAACCGTGTTAACACGACACGACAAGTTTAAATTAAATAGGTTAAAATTCAATTAACACGACATGACCTATTTAATAGGTTTAGTCACAATTCGACACGACACGCCATGACATGAAATTTCTTATTTGAGTCGCACAACCCACATAACTCATTTTTTACCTGTCACCTATTTATGACCTGCTTTTATTTTCCTTATTTGGGTAGCACAACCCACACAACTCATTTTTGACAATTACTCAGTTATGACCAGCTTTTATTTTAATTTTGTAATATAAATATGATGTAAAATATAAATTCTAGAAAGAGGAACTGAGGAACATTACAAGTCATTCAGTAAGAAATTACAAGTCCTTCCATCAATTCACACCAACAGAAATTACAAGTCCTTCGGTAAGAAATTCACAAATACAATCCCATAACAAAATAAACCAAAATAACTTAAAGTCACAAAAGAAAGTTAAGAACATCTGGGGATAGTTGTGAACATCCTAGCATCATCAGTATCACCATCTACTATTGTCAAATGTCAACCTTTCACCATTGGAGAAACTGGAAAAGAAAAACCATAAAAGATTAAATAATTTGATAGTAAATTAAATTGAAATGTACACAAAAAGAATGACACAAAATAATCAAATTGTGTGTTATAATTTGAACCTAATATAATTATAACATTTTTCAAGCTGTAACATTACCCAAAAATTATCATTCCTTAAGCTGCAACATTACCCAAAAACTAGCATTCCTTAAGTTGCAACATTACCCAAAAGTATTTGTTGTCTGCAATGAACCCATTCAACCACAATACTGCATTTTTGCTACTTTATAAGGTTATTTAATTCAAGATTTCGTCCTGTTAACTCACAGCTCATAAATTGTTTCCAACCACAAACAAATTCTGCAATATCAAGCTACCATTTACAACTTAAATTACCTCGAGAAAGTTCATCAAGTTAAATCATATTACAAGATGTAAAAAATTTAGATACTACATAATAGAGAAGTGGGGAACATCTACTCAATAAAGACTATTATCAACTATGTTGCTGTTCTAAGCCAATCATACTAATACACTTGTTTTCCATCTTCAATCCTCCATTACAACGTATTACTAGCCACTTAACCAAACGAATAATAGAGATATGACCTCAATTCTGCTGGGGAAACATTTGATTAAGTAATATACAATGAACATGAAAATGTAAAGATGAAAAATTGAAAATTATCATCAATTTGAAATAGATCCCACATGACTAAAGGTGGTATTTGTAAGTACAATGACACATTGAAACAGTTTGTTGTTGTTTTACAGAATTTGAAGACCAAGTAGTGTTATATAGACACACCACCACCACCACCACCACCACCACCATACAAAGAAATGAGGTTCCTTTTGAAGCCCTAAAATGCCCTCTCCAGAAACATGTCAAAAGAGAATGCAAGTATTAAACATGATAAGAAGAGCCCAAAGGATCATCCCGATCTAATATAAAACAAAATTGACTGATTCAAAATCCATTTAGCATTTTAATGCCATGTAACTAATTTCATTTTCTGAATATATATGGCCCATCATGTGTCTGGATTTAGTGAAAATATCCCTAGAACTAGAGACTGAATCTTACTGATTCGAATTCCGAGTAACAGAAACACTTTAATAAAGATTAAGCTTAAAAAAAGGAAAAAAAAAAAAAACACGGTTATACATAATAGAGAAAGGCAACAAACTTGTAAAATAAAAAAAAAAACAAAACAAAAACAAGAACAATCAAACACCTAGAAAACAATACCTATTCAACCACAATGTAAATCAGCAAAACTTACGGAAGAAAATATAAAAGCCTAATTAAAGGAATCTAATATGCCATGAGACTAAATATAATGATACCTCACTGGACACTACTCCACCATATCAATAGCGTTGGAACATTCAGTTGAAGATCCCCTTGGCTGATATTAACATTTTTAAGATCCACAATAAACTTTTCCAATTCAAGTTCCGAGCTCTCTTCATTTAGACCCAAAAAAAATGTTAATAAGAACAAATCAAAATAATTTATAACCAAATTCATTTCAATCATTGTAAGTATGAATTATTTACCTTTCAAATTAAACAACCAATCTCTAGTGTATACCAAAGCTTCCACATTCTCGGGCAAAAGAGAAGTACGATATTGGTCAAGAACTCGACCACCAACACTAAAAGCAGCTTCAGAAGCAACCGTAGACACTGGAATACTCAAGATATCACGAGCCATGTGAGCAAGTATTGGATACCTAAATTGGTTTCCTTTCCAATATGAAAGTATATCAAGGTCTGCCTTCCTATCAATATTTGGTTCATCCAAATAGAATTCCAATTCTGTTTTTTTGGCAGTATTAAGGAACCCACCACTTTGAAAAGTATCATATTCCTAAATATTAAAATATATATATATAAATGAAAGCAAGTAATTAGTTAAAGAATGTTTTGTAATGCTGCAAAGTAGAACAACATAAAAATATGAATAAAGTATCACCAAATTACCTCCATAACATCCCTACTTGCTTTTGAAAATTATTCGTTAACCATTTCATGAGAGCTACTTCCAACTTGTTGTGAAGAAGTTAATGTGTTTGCAGATAGAGGAGAATCAACCATGTATTCATTAAAAAGATAAAACAACTTCTCACGGACTTCCTCTCCCTTATTAGAATCACTACCATGAATCTTCTTGTAACAAAAAGCCACAAATGCAAACTTGTAGCGAGGATCTAAAATGACAGCAAAAGTAAGGCTTGTGCTAAATTCCGACCAATACTTTTCAAACTTTAAATACATTTGACCTACCATTTTGCGCTTAAATGCATCCTTGCTATTCAATTCCGTTACCAATTTTCTTTGAACTAAAAACACAAGTGGAAAATATAGATTTGCTGTGGGATACTTTGTTCCAAAAAATATTTTTGTAGCACTGTAAAATTCTTCCAAAAAACTACAAATCTTTCCTGCTTTGGTCCACTCTTCTTGAGTTGGGCAACACTTGTAGTTTGAATCACTTAATTCCAAGTGACAAAAAGCACGACGAAAATAGATGGCAGTCTCAAGCATAAGAATGGTAGCATTCCACCTTGCGGGAACATCTTGCCTCAAACCTTTCTTAACATCTAAAGAAACCTGAGTAATACATTCTACAAACTTTTGTTTTCTTGCTAGAGATCCTTTAACATATTTGACACTCTCACGAATCTTTTGAACAAATTCATCAATTTCTTTTAACCCATCTTGCACAATTAAATTCAAAATATAAGCACAACAACGAATGTGAAAAAACACACCACCGCTTAGCAATGCACCACTCAAATTCACTTGGGACCTCAACATGTCAATAAATGCAAGATTTGAAGAAGCATTATCCAACGTAATTGAAAACAGTCTTTTTTCAATCCCTCGCTCATTCAACAAAGAAAAATCTTTTCAATTATGGATACACCATTGTGTGGAGCTGGCATGTACGAAACATTCACAATTCTTTTTTGCAAGTTCCAATTTTCATCAATAAAATGTGCCGTGAGACATAAATACCCATCTGTGGTCATAGACGACCACATATCAGATGTCAGGCAAAATCTACCTTGCACTGATCCTAACAAATGTCGAATTCTACCCTTTTCATTTTTGTACATTTTCAAGATATCAGCCTTAGCAGTATTCCTACTGATAGGTTGATAATTCTCATTTAAATGACGAAATACTGCTCTATGCCCTCATACTCAACAAATTTAAAAGGCAAATCATGCTTTATTAGAGCAGCAACTAAGATGTCACGAAATTTTGCAGGATCAAATTTAGTTGATTGCATGGTAATAACACCAGATGATTGAGATAAAAGAAGCTGACCTACGTCACGTGTGTCCCTCCTAACACATGAATTAATGTGTCTCTTCATATTACCAGTTCCATACTTGCTTTCAGCAACATAAACTACTCCACACTTTTTGCACTTGCACTTTAGTATCTTGTCTGCACCTAAAGGAAGGAAATCAAAAAACAACCAAACCGGAGAAGTGAGTTTCCGTTGGCGTTTTTTTGCTTTTGCTTTTCCTGTCTTTGATTTCACGTCTGTGGTATCTACTTCCACCACATCATCTTCATCATCGATTCCATCAAGAGTTTCTAAGTTTTCTGGAACATCATTTGAATCCATCTATAAAAAAATATAAAAAATAAAACTAAAGTAAGAAAAATAAAAATCACAATAACAGAATAAAAATAATAATATGCCGCAGAAGTAATAATCCACAGATATAACACCTCAGAGATTTGTTCACAAGGCTCAAATGATTTGTTCACAAGCCACAAATTAGATTATAGAACCTCCTCAAAGTAATTAGATTATAGAACCTCCTCAAGGTAATAAGATTATAGAACCTTTTCAAAGAAATCAGATTTTAGAACCTCCTCAAAGAACAACAAAAAATAAATCGATCAATGAAAGGCAGAAAAAATAAAATAAATAAAAAAAGAAAGAGAAAAATATCAGTACAACAAAAAAATAAATTGAAGGGCAGAACAGATTAAAAAAAAAAAAAAAAAAAGAGAAAAAAAAAATTAGTTTAAAAAATTAAAATTACGTCGTCATCGGTTGGTGAAGTGCGTGATTTACTTCCAAGGTAAGCTTTCATAAGAGAATTCTGAAGCTGTAAGTGCTCACCATATCTATAGAAGGTCTATTTTTTATTTTTTATTTTTAACAATAGAAGGTCTGTTTTATAAAGCTAATTCTCAACAAAAAGTGTCCCTAGCCTGGGATTTTCTTTAGGATGGAAGAACTATGGAGATGCTGGAGGAAGCTGCGTCTTTGAAGGTTGAAATTTTTTTTTTAAAAAAAATAAAAAAACAAATAGGGTCTAGTTTGATGTCTATAGAAGAAAAAAGAAACATCAAACATGGATTCAAAAAATAAATCTATCAACGAAAGGCAGAACAAATTAAAAAAAAAAAAAAATCAGTTTAAGAAATTAAAATCACAGTTTGAAGGCTGAACAAATTTTTTTTAAAAAAAATTAAAACAAATAGGGTCCAATTTGATGTCCATAGAAGAAAAAAAGAAACATCAAATATGGATTCATTGAGATTTGAGATTAATCAGTAAAAAAAAAAAAAAAAAAAAAAAAAATTAGGGTTACGAATTAGGATTTAACTTGCCTTCCAATTTGAGACAAGGAGACTATGGAGTGACCACTGATTAGTGACCAGAGAGTAGTGATGTATCACAATCGTCGATCAGCCAAGTGCTTTTTGCTTGGAATCGTAGAAGATCAAATAACAAATGAGAGACTCAGAGTTAGAGACGACTTTGCTGCGCTTTTGGTTTTGTATTTCTGACTTCTGAGGCTCAAAATAGTTAACAACACTTAAATAGGCAGCATTAGGTTAGGGCATCTTTCAATGAATTTACAAAACTACCCATTTATCTTTTATAATATTGCATTATAAATTCGTGTCAATATGGGTATAAACGTGTTATTGTGTCAATATGGGTATAAATGTGTTAATGTGTCAACATGTCTAAATGGGTCTTATCCGTGTCAACACGATAGGACACGTATATTTAATCGGGTTAATCGTGTTATAATCAGGTTAGCAGGTTTAAACACGAACACGACACGATTAGTTGGCGGGTCATTTTGTGTCGACACGATTATGACACGAACACGATTAACCCAAACCCAAACCCACTTAACCCGTGTCGTATTCGTGTCGTGTTAGCGTGTCGCGTCAATTCTTGCCACCCCTAGCCACCACTGTGGTATCTGCCGACGCAAGCCAAGGCAGCCCCAAAGCCTACCCCAGTTCAAGTGGTTCCGATAGCAAACCCTCCCCCGGAATATGTCACTGAATCCATGCTATGTGATTTTTTTATGAAGCATGCCCCTTCCGCTGCACGAGCGTTAGTATTGCGTACGGAGCCTCCGTACCCGAAAAGTCTGGCTCAGACGCCGTACCCACAGGGGTACATCATCCCAAAATTTCCTAAGTATGACAGTGTCAAAGGGGATGCCGATGAGCACTTGCAAAGATTCATGGAATCTCTAGGTCAGCATAGCCATGACGAGATCCTGCGCCTTCGAGAATTCTCTAAATCTCTCACAGGGCTCACGCACAGATGGTTTCGTAGCCTCGAGCCAGACTCGATCACCACTTGGCAATAGCTCTCCCAGAAGTTCCATGACAAGTTTGGCCAAGCCATCGAGAGGGTCACTACCCTCTCCCTCATTAAAGCAACACATGAACCTCACGAGGAACCCCTCAAGTTCATCTCTCGCTTCCAAGCCAGTGCGAGGGAATGCTTCGAGGGTAGCAGTGAAAGGGATCTGGTTGATATTTGCATACAGGGCATGATTAAGACTTACAGAATACACTTGATCAATTTGGGGCTCAACAGCTTTAGCGATCTCACCACAGCTGTACGGAACATTTGCAAGGATCTCGTACCTCCCAAGGCAGAGGTCGCTGGATAGGTGACTTGCAAAGACACACCGGTTGCTCCTCGCAATGACAGAGCAAAGAAGCTTCGTAAAGTAGATACTAGGGTCAAGGGATCTCGAGCTGAACGAGCAAATGATCCTCCCCCATTCCCAGTATGTATGGAAGAAGTTGCCAGTACCCTAGAGCAGTGGGTCAAGCATGGCGTAGCCATGCTACCTGTTCCTCACAAAGAGCCAACCGCACAGGATCGTGCAAGCCCAAATTTTTGTATCTTTCATCAAGCCACTACACATCCAACAAGTGCCTACAGGACGGTTAGACGAATTTTTCAACAACAGCTCGAGGGTGGTGATCTCGAGTTAACCACGCTAAAGGATGTGCGGCGCAATCCATACCCTCGTCATCGCGGTGTGGCTGTGGTCACGTATTATGATGAGTTGGAAGAAACCAACCCCATGCAATCAAAGGTTTAAGCACAACACAGTGAAGAAGAGTGTTGTGTAGCCACTTCGCCAAGTCAACTCCCCTCCCACCAGGCTCCTTTGACCATTTCCTTCTCCAAATTTGACAAGAGGGTCTCTACTCCTCAGAATCGTCCTCTCTATATCACTGCGCAACTTAATGGTAGGGAGTTCCGGCGTGCTTTTCTAGATAATGGATCTTCCATTAACATCATGCCATGGGCCACTTTTCAAAAAGCTGGTTTACCCCAAGATCACTTTGTCAAGGAGGCCATCGAAGTTTATGGTTTTAGCAATGAATCCCACCAGACTCTCGGCTACATAAATGTTGATCTAGCAGTTGGTAGATTTTGAGCTCCCACCAAGTTCCATATCATCAAGGCTGATACCTCCTACCATGTGCTCCACGGGCGGGCGTGGATGCACCGTTTTGACATAGTGGCCTCTACTTACCATCAATGTTTCAAAGGCATTTGGGCAACAAAGTCGTCACGATTCCATGCTCTGATACGCCCTTTGCCAAGCACGAGGCACACTTTATTGAGGCTTCTTCTTTGATGAGTTAGATGATGAGGATGAAGAAGGAGAGACGCATATAATTTGTACTCCGCTACCCAAGTGGGACGAGGTACAGTAGGGCATCTTTTACCTTCCACAACCATATGTTCCTCGTTGCAGCGCAAAAGTCGCTACCCCACGGGAGTGCAAACGAGTCAGGCTGCCGAATGGGCGATATGTCTACCGCTTATGACGGTGTGCGGGCTCAGCTTCAGCGAGCCTAGTTGTCGAGCCTACATGTATAGAGGAGGAGCCACTACAACCGCCGGATCTCGAGGAGGTCAATCTCGCCCCTGTTCGACGAGAGTCAAGGACGACTTTCATCTCCTCGCAATTGGGCCCATCGTTGCAAGATAGCCTCATTTGTCTCTTGAAAGAATTTTCAGACATCTTTGCATGGACCTATAGCGAGATGCCAGGTCTAGACCCCCTACTCGTGACACATCATCTTAGTACCATCCTAGGCTCGCGCCCTGTTAAACAAGCACCTCGAGTTTATCGTCCTGAGCTTGAGCTTGAAATTAAGACAGAAGTCGAAAACTTGCTTCTCGTAGGTTTCATTAAACCAACCTTACATCCAACTTGGCTGGTAAACATTATGCCTGTGAAGAAGAAAAATGGGCAAATCCGGATTTGCGTTGATTTTCGCAATCTCAACAAGGCATGCCCGAAAGATGATTTCCCTCTTCCTATCATAAACACACTGGTTGATGCAACGGCTTGGCATTCACTTTTTTACTTCATGGATGGATACAGCGGCTACAATCAGATACGGATGGCTGAAGGGGATGCCCACAAGACTGCATTTCGGATACCACTTGACAATTTCCATTACACTGTTATGCCCTTCAGGTTAAAGAAAGCTGGAGCCAC